TTAAGTAGGGGCCCAATACTGGACGTTGTTCTCGATTTTGATTTGGCATAGGAGAAGAAATACTTTGGGTTTCTTTCGATTTCATTTATGGCTTTTAGTTCTTCCCGCGATTCCTGACTCCTAAAGGATTCTTTTAGCTTAAGTTCGATGCTTGCTAGTTCTCTGACCAGTGTCTCCCTACGCATTTCAGATATATTGACCTCTTTTAGCCGCTCTGTTATTCTTTTCCGTCGCCTGTAAAGGGAGCGCCTGTCTCTTTCTGTTTTACATCTACTCCTCCTTTTTCTTAGAGGAATAAGCCTTGTGCATACATCGAGTGCTACCGAGTTAATCTGTTCTAGGCATAAGTTGGGGTCTGTGTTGCTTAGTATATCTTCCCAGCTTATATCGGTTAGGACTTGGTTTACTTGGTCCCACTTTATGTTTTTGTTATTGAAGTTGAATTTGGTGAATGCTCCCTCGTGACTAATCTCCTTATGTCGGTCTGGGGCTTCGCGCATACATGACTGAACCTCAATTATGTTGTGATCTGAGTATATTGTTTTTGATATGGTGATATTTCTTATCAGATCATCATTGTTAGTGAAGATGAGGTCTAGTGTATTCTCCAGTCTAGTAGGCTCTATTATTTGCTGGTTTAAAATGAATTTTGTGCAGAGATTTAAAAGCTCGCGTGAGTGTGAGTTTTCATCAGAGCTGCCTCCTGGTGTTATTACTGCAACAATATTATTTGCTATATTCCTCCATTTTAGGTGCCTTAAGTTGAAATCCCCCAGGAGCAAGATGTTGGGTGCAGGAGCTGGAAGGTTTTCCAGACAGTGGTCAATTTTTAACAGCTGTTCCTGGAATTGCTGGGATGTTGCATCCGGAGGCTTGTAGACTATCACAATGACTAGGTTTTGGTTCTCGACCTTTACTGCTAAAACTTCCACTACATCATTTGAGGCATTTAGCAGTTCTGTGCAAACAAGTGACTCTGCAATGTACAGGCCAACCCCCCCCTTTTGCCTGTTCACTCTGTCACATCTGTATAGGTTGTAACCTGGGATCCATATTTCGTTGTCCAAGTGATCCTTTATGTGGGTCTCAGTGAAAGCCGCGAACATTGCCTTTGCCTCTGCAAGCAGTCCACGGATGAAAGGTATTTTGTTGTTTGTTGCTGGCTTTAGACCCTGTATATTTGCAAAGAAGAATGTTATCGGACTGGTGGTATTGTTGGTACTGGGGGGGGATTTTTTTCGGGCATTAGTATCTGTATCTGTTGGTTTGGAGTGGAGGCCATCGACTGTGGTTGCACTCCAGGAATGACTGGATTTGGTGTACGATTTCTGCCATTTCCTGCCAGTTTTTTTTCCTTCCTGGCACTAAAAAACCTCTCCCTCTTGAGTGGCTGTGGCTACCCAGGTTTTCCCATGGCCTGGATGTTTTGTATCTTTTTGTCCCCTTTAGATGGTATGCCTGGCAATTTAAGTTATAGCACAGTCTTTCCTGTACTGAAGAGGTACACAGTTCAGGGTGAAAAAGCTTACAGGAAGGGAGTTTGCATTTTCCTGTTGTCATATGGGCATGGCATTTCCTAGGGTGGTCATAGTTGCACGTCCCATCTGTTTTTCCAGATTTCCCATGCCAGCAGATACCGAGTGCATAGTATGTGCACAGGCTTGGTTTCCGTTTGCCTTGGGTTTCTGTGACTGTATTCCCTATTGGTGCATGTTTCCCTGTCTTACTTCTATCCTCCCTAGCACCAACAATGGAGCTCCCACCATTTGTTTTTGGTAATATATCCTCACTATTGCTAGTGGAGTCCTCTTGTTTGCTATTTCCTGCGGTATTTCTAGTTTGCAATATTGGTTTTATCTTATCTTTGACTACACTTGTTTCCCTACTATGGCTCCTGTCCCCTATGAGGTCATTCATATGTATTCCTTCCTGCGTATAATTCCCGACTACCTGGACAAAATCTCCAGCTTCACCATTACTGTCTCCCAGGACAGCATCTCCAGCTTCCCCATTACTGTCTCCCAGGACAGCATCTCCAGCTTCACCATTACTGTCTCCCAGGACAGCACCTCCAGCTTCCCCATTACTGTGTCCCAGGACAGCACTATCAGCCCCCCATTTACTGACTACCAGGACATCATCTCCAGCCTTACAGTTTCTGACTACATGGCCAGTATCAAGGGCAGTACCATTCAGCCCGGACTTTTTATGTTCCCATCTGTTGTAGAAAGCTTCCAGGTTTTCTATGAAAGCAGCTTTGATGTTGACCTCTTTTAATACCCTTGTGATTTTAGTCCACAGATTTATCTCATTTGGGCATACCCAAAAACACTTCCCTGTTTTAATACTGCTTGTAGCTAGTTCTTGGATATCTGCACAAGGGGCGTGACACCAATTTCCACAGAAATGACAATTTATGCATGTGGAAGCCCGTTTGTTTGACTGACCACAGACTACACACAGCTTCATAATGATTTGAATGGTTGATTTACTGCAATTCTACTAGCAACCTCTTGAATATTCTATTAATAACCTGCTAGGTGGTGCACAACGAAACCGTTTGGAACCAGTCCAGGGTTCGGACCAGTCAAGGGTTCGGACCAGTCAAGGGTTCGGACCAGTCAAGGGGTTTTCGGACCAGTCTATCTGATCTGATCAGTGGGTCACTTATTTAAACCATACTGGTCGGTGATTTGAGCTAACACATGAAGGATCTACTGGAAATTATCTACCCGAGTAATATGTGATTTGATTGATACAAAAGTATAACTTGCGTGTTGAAGAGCCGGTGACTGCTGGCACTCCTACAATGACGAACGGTCGAGCCTCCACCTTTGTTTATCAATCGCTGTATCTAGCTTCTCTATTTTTTTTTTCCGTCTCCACCACAATAAATGCTATATTATCACTATAGTTGACTGGTGCAAATTTTGGAGGAAGGGCGCTTTTTCTGTAGTAATAATTGCTTCTCGTTGTGTATATTGCGACCGCTGGTAACTACAGGTTATATGAAATTCACAGTAACGTCTGGTATATCTACAAATAAATAACAAAAAGGCACAATACCGTGGCTGGAACGATACACAAATAACCCGCATATAGAAGAGAGAAGCTTACGACGACGTTTCGGTCCGACTTTGTCAATGGTCCAAGTCGGACCGAAACGTCGTCGTAAGCTTCTCTCTTCTATGTGTGGGTTATTTGTGTAAGATATATCTACTGTTGGCAACTATTTGGAGTGACGCCTTTATTACTGTAATAGGTTTTAAATTTATTGGAGTCTGTTGAAGGTATCCGATGCAACCGGCAGTATACTTACTAATGCTGATATAACAGTTTTGGAAAATGAATTGAAACAATTTGCCACTTTAGTTGTTTCGTGACACATCTCGTTATCAACATTTAGCACTATGTTAGATCTATCTACGGGTTTATGGCTATACCGCAACTCTTGTAGTTATTGCCAGAGCTTTCTGCAGGTTGTTCTTGTACTGGTCTTTTTATTCGATTTTTGCGCAATATTGTCTTACCTTTACTTCTTTTATAAGCCTCTTTGGAGTTCATTTAGCGCTGCAATATCCCGTCTGTTTACCCTAAATCTTTTTAACAACTGATCCCTGAGTTTAATATTATCTAATATCTCGGCAATTATCCAGAGTTCACTTCTTTACTTAATCTTTCACTGGTGCAATATTATCAAGGATGGCAGTGAACAAGGTTCTGAATGTTTTCCAGACATCATTTACGTTCGAGCAACTTATCACAGTACAGTCACAACGGTGTAGCCTATTTCCTAATTTTTCGGTCCAATTCAGACCACTAACAAATCACTTTAATAAGTGTGACTTGTCACGTTGAGGAGAGGAGTTTACGACGACGTTTCGGTTCGACTTGGACCATTTATAAAGTCAGTCATAATTGTCAGTCTCCTAAATATGGGTTATTTATGTACTGTTCCAGCTTAGATATACTGTAAATGTTTAACTATCTTCTGAATGCCTGGTACGTCTCCTAATACAAGGCTCAGATACATGCAATAGTTGAAAAGCATATTGTTTTTAAATAGCCATATTGCATCTGGTTCACTTCTAGCTGTATAGGTTTGTAGACAGTCGGGTTATACACTTTCTTGGGTCTTAAAGGGAAGGGTTGTGTCTTGATGCTGGTGATGGAGTCTTGAACCTAGGACTTTAAGGTTCTCTTCTCTTCCTCTGATCAAAACTAATTGCTATCTTCCTCTCCGTTCCCCAGGTCGTCGCTGTTTTACTCCTATGGATCAAATACATCCTCGTGGCTCGGTTGGTAACGCTCTCACCTCTAACACTGAGTCTCCGTGCTTCAGTCCCCGGCATAGGTGGAAAATTTGGGCGAAACGTTTCGTTAGTAAAGATACGTAAGTGTTACACATGTATCATAGTCATCCACGCTTAGTGTTGAATGTGGTTTTGTTTCTAAATTTATGTTGTGTTATTTTCCTGGGCGAGGTAGAGTTAGCCTCGTGCTGCAACACTATTCACGTGCCCATGTCTGTTTCACTACCTTCAGGGGGTATGAGGGGATGCCATGATGCTGGTAAAGAGCTCTCAATCCAGGGAATTGGATCTACTCTCCCCTACCTAGGAACAAATTTGATACTCTCTTCGTGTTACCCAGGTGCTGTGTGACCCTTGCGAATTGAACGCTTATTCGTGACTATAATAAGTCATATCATGGTGTTCCGTAGCTGAGTTGGTAGCTCACTCAGCTCACACGTTGAGGTCCGTGGTTTGATCCCCGGTACGGGTGGAAACATTAGGGCATGTTTCACCTAGCAGTAAAATAGGTACTTCCGTGTTAGTCGACTGGTGTCTGTCGCATCCTGGTGACAAAATTAACCTGATTTGCCCGAAATGCTCTGCATAACAAGGGGTTTTCTATATAGTATGTCATTGATGTCAGATATGGTCTGTATAAGTTGTATCATGTACTTGTAGAAATAAAGATGATTATTATTATTACGACACTGCTCGTGTATTTTGAGAGGCCAAAATAATAAAACTACACTGCCATTTTACTGTTTAATAAAGCACTATAAGTTTAGTGCATAATAAAAACCTAAGATTAAAGTTTTAAGTAACATTCAACTTAGATTTAGTTTTGCAAGGCGACTTTGAGCTGAGGAAACTCCAGGTTGTGAAGTATTCTCTGGATCTGGAGCTTGGCTAGGCTCCTCTTCTCAGGTTCCAAACGCTTCAACACAGGAACCAGACTAAGACAAAACAACCTCTCGCCGTTGTCCTCTTCGTCTCCTCGTACTCCAAGGTGTGCTGAGTACACCTTCTGCAGCTCTGTGTCCGTCTGGCTCACCTTCAGGAGGTCCGGCTCGTATGAGAAGGACCTGGTTCTCTTGGTGTTTAGTGGGGTGGGACAGCGGGAGGGTGTAGTGTTGTGATGACTGCTGCTTGAACTGTGGATGCTGTTGGTGGAGTTGTGAATGTTGGCGGTGGAGTTGTGAGTGTTGGGGTTGTGCTTCATCTCGATCTCCTCCTCGTCTGTGGGTTCAGCATCCTCCTCATCTTCCGTTCCTCCTGCATCGGACAAGTTGTCGCGTCGGCTGGATCTGGGAAGAAAGAGGGATGCGTGTAATTGCCAGATTTAATCTTCCGAGAACACACTTTAACCTTAACCCCATTTCTAATCTAACGATAGAGCCCCTGGTGGGCGAAAGGTTTCCATGATAAAGTTACCTATCTTTGCATAAGTGTCTCTTGACATTATATATCTCGAGTAGATTACGACCTTGGGTTATCAAATAGAAGTTTAAGGAGACTTAGGTCTCGAGACACTTCTCAGATAGGGAGCCAAGGCCGGGTCACCAATATTGGAAAAGACCCGGGCTCGGAGAATACCGGCGAATAAAAAAAAAAAGTTTAAGGACAGTGATACGAAAAGAAGTTTAAACAGATTTTGTTGACTTGAGAGCGAGGAAGATTGACATCAGTCTGTCTATAATGCAGGAGGAGCCACTTGTCTATGGTGCATCCAACAAACCAGCAGACTCTTGGATGTCACTACTGCCAGGCTCCGGCTTGGCTACAAGTATCTGTTGGAGGTTGCAACATCTACTGACACAGACATAACCAAGTGTTAACTTTACGAGAGGAACTCTCGTCACACCTTGTGTCGTTATTTACTGGAATATTAAGATATTAATAAATTCAGACAACTCGGTTACAAATGTACAAGATATATCAACATATTTAAAAAAGAGTAACTACCATCCCCGGCATGAATATGTTCTCTCTTTTATTTATCATTTCTTGATTAATCGCCTTCTGTTCTGCTGTGTTTCTAGTTTTCTATCTCATGACCGCTTATATTGTCTTTAAAATGTGTATTAACCTCGTTTATTTAGTTTTTAAACTCATTCTTAGTTCGTAAATACTTTTTGCTTCACATTGACACATCATCTCCGTGTCTTCCATATTACAGTGTTGGTACAGGAAGTTGTGTGTACTAGTGTACAGTGTTGGTACAGGACGTTGTGTGTACTAGTGTACAGTGTTGGTACAGGAAGTTATGTGTACTAGTGTACAGTGTTGGTACAGGAAGTTATGTGTACTAGTGTACAGTGTTGGTACAGGAAGTTATGTGTACTAGTGTACAGTGTTGGTACAGGACGTTGTGTGTACTAGTGTACAGTGTTGGCACAGGAAGTTGTGCGTACTAGTGTACAGTGTTGGTGCAGGACGTTGTGTATACTAGTGTACAGTGTTGGTACAGGACGTTGTGTGTACTAGTGTACAGTGTTGGTGCAGAACGTTGTGTATACTAGTGTACAGTGTTGGTACAGGACGTTGTGTATACTAGTGTACAGTGTTGGTACAGGACGTTGTGTATACTAGTGTACAGTGTTGGTACAGGACGTTGTGTATACTAGTGTACAGTGTTGGTGCAGGACGTTGTGTATACTAGTGTACAGTGTTGGTACAGGACGTTGTGTATACTAGTGTACAGTGTTGGTGCAGGACGTTGTGTATACTAGTGTACAGTGTTGGTACAGGACGTTGTGTATACTAGTGTACAGTGTTGGTACAGGACGTTGTGTATACTAGTGTACAGTGTTGGTACAGACGTTGTGTATACTAGTGTACAGTGTTGGTGCAGGACGTTGTGTATACTAGTGTACAGTGTTGGTACAGGACGTTGTGTATACTAGTGTACAGTGTTGGTGCAGGACGTTGTGTATACTAGTGTACAGTGTTGGTGCAGGACGTTGTGTATACTAGTGTACAGTGTTGGTGCAGGAAGTTGTGTACTAGTGTACAGTGTTGGTGCAGGACGTTGTGTATACTAGTGTACAGTGTTGGTGCAGGACGTTGTGTATACTAGTGTACAGTGTTGGTGCAGGACGTTGTGTATACTAGTGTACAGTGTTGGTGCAGGACGTTGTGTATACTAGTGTACAGTGTTGGTGCAGGACGTTGTGTATACTAGTGTACAGTGTTGGTGCAGGAAGTTGTGTACTAGTGTACAGTGTTGGTGCAGGACGTTGTGTATACTAGTGTACAGTGTTGGTGCAGGACGTTGTGTATACTAGTGTACAGTGTTGGTACAGGAAGTTGTGTACTAGTGTACAGTGTTGGTGCAGGATGTTGTGTATACTAGTGTACAGTGTTAGTACAGGAAGTTGTGTGTACTAGTGTACAGTGTTGGTACAGGAAGTTGTGTACTAGTGTACAGTGTTGGTGCAGGACGTTGTGTATACTAGTGTACAGTGTTAGTACAGGAAGTTGTGTGTACTAGTGTACAGTGTTGGTACAGGAAGTTGTGTGTACTAGTGTACAGTGTTGGTACAGGAAGTTGTGTGTACTAGTGTACAGTGTTGGTGCAGGACGTTGTGTGTACTAGTGTTCAGTGGTGGTGCAGGACGTTGTGTATACTAGTGTACAGTGTTGGTACAGGAAGTTGTGTGTACTAGTGTACAGTGTTGGTACAGGAAGTTGTGTGTACTAGTGTACAGTGTTGGTGCAGGAAGTTGTGTGTACTAGTGTACAGTGTTAGTACAGGAAGTTGTGTGCACTAGTGTACAGTGTTGATGCAGGAAGTTGTGCGTACTAGTGTACAGCGTTGGTACAGGAAGTTGTGTGTACTAGTGTACAGTGTTAGTACAGGAAGTTGTGTGTACTAGTGTACAGTGTTAGTACAGGAAGTTGTGTGTACTAGTGTACAGTGTTGATGCAGGAAGTTGTGTGTACTGGTGTACAGTGTTGGTACAGGAAGTTGTGTGTACAGTGTTAGTACAGGAAGTTGTGTGTACTAGTGTACAGTGTTGATGCAGGAAGTTGTGTGTACTAGTGTACAGTGTTGGTACAGGAAGTTGTGTGTACAGTGTTAGTACAGGAAGTTGTGTGTACTAGTGTACAGTGTTGATGCAGGAAGTTGTGTGTACTAGTGTACAGTGTTGGTACAGGAAGTTGTGTGTACTAGTGTACAGTGTTGATGCAGGAAGTTGTGTGTACTAGTGTACAGTGTTGATGCAGGAAGTTGTGTGTACTAGTGTACAGTGTTAGTACAGGAAGTTGTGTGTACTAGTGTACCGTGTTAGTACAGGAAGTTGTGTGTACTAGTGTACAGTGTTGATGCAGGAAGTTGTGTGTACTAGTGTACAGTGTTAGTACAGGAAGTTGTGTGTACTAGTGTACCGTGTTAGTACAGGAAGTTGTGTGTACTAGTGTACAATGTTGGTACAGGAAGTTGTGTGTATTAGTGTACAGTGTTAGTACAGGAAGTTGTGTGTACTAGTGTACAGTGTACAATATGAGACGTAGTTGAGAAGTTACCCACCTGTAGGGCCGGTGCTTAACGTGTGAGGTGAGGAACATGAGCTGAGACATGAGGGGCCAGCTACCCTGGTATACCTGGAGAGCGCTCGTTCCTGCCCTCTTGGGATTGACATTCTTCCTCATCTCTCTGACGAACTTGTCTCTCAGTACCCTCCATCGTGCCTGACACTCCCGCGCTGACACAAACAAACAACTCTTCAGTCACATCAGTTTACGAAGTGGAAAAAGACACGTACAGATCAGGACATTTATTAGATAAAACGTTTCGCCACGAGTGGCTTCTTCAGTCCTGAAGCCACTTGTGGCGAAACGTTTCCTCTAATGTCCTGAAGTGCACACAAGTGTCTTTTTCCACATCTTTTAGAGTATCAGCATACCATTTTTCAGTTTACGAATTATTGGTGGGCTGGTGCAAGTATGAGTAGTGGGGGGGGGTTGAAGAGGGTTGGAATAGTTTTAAAAATGCAGTATTAGAATGTGGGGCAGAAGTTTGTGGTTATAGGAGGGTGGGGGCAGGAGGGAAGAGGAGTGATTGGTGGAATGATGAAGTAAAGGGTGTGATAAAAGAGAAAAAGGTAGCTTATGAGAGGTTTTTACAAAGCAGAAGTGTTATAAGAAAAGCAGAGTATATGGAGAGTAAAAGAAACGTGAAGAGAGTGGTGAAAGTGCAAAAGGAGAGCAGATGATAGGGTGGGAGAGGCACTGTCAAGAAATTTTAATGAAAATAAGAAAAAATTTTGGAGTGAGTTAAACAAGTTAAGAAAGCCTAGGGAAAGTATGGATTTGTCAGTTAAAAACAGAGTAGAGGAGTTAGTAGATTGGGAGATGGAGGTTTTGGGTAGATGACGAGAATATTTTGAGGAACTTTTAAATGTTGAGGAAGAAAGGGAGGCGGTAATTTTATGCACTGGTCAGGGAGGTATACCATCTTTTAGGAGTGAAGAAGAGCAGAATGTAAGTGTGGTGGAGGTACGTGAGGCATTACGTAGAATGAAAGGGGGTAAAGCAGCTGGAACTGATGGGGTCATGACAGAAGTGTTAAAATCAGGGGGGATATAGTGTTGGAGTGGTTGGTACTTTTGTTTAATAAATGTATGAAAGAGGGGAAGGTACCTAGGGATTTGCGGAGAGCATGTATAGTCCCTTTATATAAAGGGAAGGGGGACAAAAGAGATTGTAAAAATTATAAATTCCTGAGTATACCAGGAAAAGTGTACGGTAGGGTTATAATTGAAAGAATTAGAGGTAAGACAGAATGTAGGATTGCGGATGAGCAAGGAGGTTTCAGAGTGGGTAGGGGATGTGTAGATCAAGTGTTTACATTGAAGCATATATGTGAACAGTATTTAGATAAAGGTAGGGAAGTTTTTATTGGATTTGTGGATTTAGAAAAGGCATATGATAGAGTGGATAGGGGAGCAATGTGGCAGATGTTGCAAGTATATAGAATAGGTGGTAAGTTACTAAATGCTGTAAAGAGTTTTTATGAGGATAGTGAGGCTCAGGTTAGGGTGTGTAGAAGAGAGGGAGAATACTTCCCGGTAAAAGTAGGTCTTAGACAGGGATATGTAATGTCACCATGGTTGTTTAATATATTTATAGATGGGGTTGTAAGAGAAGTAAATGCTAGGGTGTTTGGGAGAGGGGTGGGAATAAATTATGGGGAATCAAATACAAAATGGGAATTGACACAGTTGCTTTTTGCTGATGATACTGTGCTTATGGGAGATTCTAAAGAAAAATTGCAATGGTTAGTGGATGAGTTTGGAAGTGTGTAGAGTTAGAAAATTGAAAGTGAACATAGAAAAGAGTAAGGTGATGAGGGTATCAAATGATTTAGATGAAAAATTGGATATCAAATTGGGGAGGAGGAGTATGGAAGAAGTGAATGTTTTCAGATACTTGGGAGTTGACGTGTCGGCGGATGGATTTATGAAGGATGAGGTTAATCAGAGAATTGATGAGGAAAAAAAAGGTGAGTAGTGCATTGAGGTATATGTGGAGAAAAAACGTTATCTATGGAGGCAAAGAAGGGAATGTATGAAAGTATAGTAGTACCAACACACTTATATGGGTGTGAAGCTTGGGTTGTGAATGCAGCAGCGAGGAGGCGGTTGGAGGCAGTGGAGATGTCCTGTCTAAGGGCAATGTGTGGTGCAAATATTATGCAGAAAATTCGGAGTGTGGAAATTAGGAGAAGGTGTGGAGTTAATAAAAGTATTAGAGGGCTGAAGAGGGGTTGTTGGGGTGGTTTGGTCATTTAGAGAGAATAGATCAAAGTAGAATGACATGGAAAGCGCTTAATCTGTAGGGAAAGGAAGGCGGGGTAGGGGTCGTCCTCGAAAAGGTTGGAAGGAAGGGGTAAAGGTGTGATGCAGTTCAGATGGGCTTGTGAGGTCTCTAGTGAGACCTAATTATATGGTCACACCTGCCTTAGCAAATGTCGGGTAGTCACGCCCACGTCTGAGGTCTTTTGTTCTTGACGGCGTCAGGTCGTAACACGTGGTACATACCCCATTGGGGAGGGGGTACTTTGACTACGATATAAGCCCAGGGAACAGCTGAGCAAGGAGGTTGTTGGTGACAGGTCCGGGGAGCGGGAGCTCTGGACAGCCGCGTGTGTAGTGGACCACGCATTGGGAATCTCGGGTCAGCTGGTCGGTGAATTAAGAGTGAGTACTAGTCCGTGTTACTGATAACATCTACCTTTCCCCCTGGTAATAAGTCTCATAGGTCAATTGTTATATTATGTAAATGTCCATCAGTAATGTGGTATTCTAGCCCTTTTATGTTATTAAGTAAACTATAGCCATAGTTCCCATTTTTTTTATTTTGTTCCTCCATATGCTATTCCCTATTCTGTTAAGCACTGGGATACACAGGAGACGTGCTCACTCGCTGGGTGAACTGCATCACAAAGGAGGTTTTGTGGGCGAGGAGCTTGGACTTCCAGCAGGCGTGCATGAGCGTGTTCGATAGGAGTGAATGGAGACGAATGGTATTTGGGACCTGACTATCTGTTGGAGTGTGAGCAGGGTAATATTTAGTGAAGGGATTCAGGGAAACCGGTTATTTTTATATAGCCGGACTTGAGTCTTGGAAATAAGAAGTACAATGCTGCACTTTAAAGGAGGGGTTTCGGGATATTAGCAGTTTGGAGGGATATGTTGTGTATCTTTATACGTATATGCTTCTAAACTGTTGTATTCTGAGCACCTCTGCAAAAACAGTGATTATGTGTGAGTGAGGTGAAAGTGTTGAATGATGATGAAAGTATTTTCTTTTTGGGGATTTTCTTTCTTTTTGGGTCACCCTGCCTCGGTGGGAGACGGCCGTCTTGTTAATATAAATATATATAATATATATATATATATAATATATATTATATATATATATATATATATATATATATATATATATATATATATATATATATATATATTTATTATAATATAACATATAAGATCACCAGTAAACAGGTGATTTCAGAATATGCAAAACAACCACTCTGAAAGAATAGAGAAATTCCAAGCGCTTTCGTGACTACTCACATTATCAAGGAACTATGAAAGTAAAGCATCCAAGGAAGCTAATAAGGGGTCTGGCCAACACCTCACTATCAGATCCCACAACGGTTAAACACCTGACGCGCGCCGACCCAACTGGACAGGTCCTTTGCACAACTCACCCACAAACTATTCTACCCAAGAAAATTTAAAAATTATTATTTGTCCAGTGTATTATTAAATTCTTCCCAAATTCTATATTAATTATAAATGGATCTAATTTATATAAACCATAGGAAATATTCATATTATTGTCAAAACTGCTTTTTATGAAACAAGATTCAATTATATTTCTGTCGACCATGGACTTGCTTGATACTACTTTTGAGAATTATATTAAATATATATATATATATATATATAATATATATATATATATATATATATAATATTATATATATATATATATATATTATATATGTGTGTGTGTGTGTGTGTAGTACATATATCCTGGGTAAAATAATTTTAGAGATGTCGTTAGTGTCTTCGTTAAAAAAAATACCAGGAGAGAGTTTCGGGGGTCAACGCCCCCGCGGCCCGGTGAGAGACCAGGCCTCGTGGTGGATCAGGGTCTGATCATCCAGGCTGTTACTGCTGGCCACACTTAAATGACAAAATCGACGAGGAGATATATTTGAGAATTGTTGTTGGAAAGAGAGAGAGAGAGAGAGACGGCAGTAGTGTCAGTGAAATAAGTGGACAGTAACAATAAAAATGAATTAGACACATGTCTAACATCTGGGTGTCTTTATTTGTAGACATTTCGCCATCCAGTGGCTTCATCAGTACAAATTCTAGGGTATAATTGTAAGACAGTAGATATTGTAAGACAGTCGGTATTGTGTACGATACATGTATAACTAACACAAACACATTAACTAGTAGTAAGTAGAGAAAACTAAGAGTTTGAGATTAATTAGAAATTGAAAAAAATGATGTACCAAATACTATTTTAAAAATCATACACAATCTCTTGATTTTTTCACACTTAACATTCCATCTGTTGTTGTTGTTTATCGGTGTGTTAGTCCGCCAGTCTCCCTCTGTTCCAACATCATCTCCACTTCTGCCGTGCTTGGTATAGGCTGCCCGCACAGATCATAATTCCCAAGTGACAGTAACTCAGGCAGTGCTGGAAGGAATCCTCTGAACCTGCCGTAACTGTTGAGCATTTGTTAAAATACTTGATGATATCCTTATTGTCCTTCTGAGTTCTCCTCAGACTGACACTGCTGAAGTCTCTCAGCTCAGACTGACACTGCTGAAGTCTCTCAGCTCAGACTGACACTGCTGAAGTCTCCCAGCTCAGGCTGACACTACTGAAGTCTCTCAGCTCAGACTGACACTACTGATGTCTCCCAGCTCAGACTGGGAGACTTCAGCTCAGGCTGATACGTGTCAGCATTATGTGACAATCCTGGATGATGGACTAAAACAAGGGAAGCAGAACTAGATTTAATTTCCACTGTGTAATCTTATACAGTAGTCGCAGCGCACTGCTGAAGTATCCAGTTGTCCTGTCAGTATACCACCACAGGTCAGTACAGCACCACCACAGGTTAGTATACCACCACCACAGGTCAGTATACCACCACCATAGGTCAGTATAC